CAGCTAAAAACCGATTGCATGGCTTTGTTCAGCGTGAAGGATCCAGTGAGATATTGGATATCCAGCGCTGACGCATTCACGGCTTTGGTTTGGGGTGCAATGACGCGCGCACGACATGATATCTCCACTGAACCTGCCCTGCCCACGAACGAGGCTCATGCCGAATTAGAGTCGTTGGGCGTAGCAGTTGATGGCCGCGAAAGGCTAGGTCTCGATCCCCCCGAAGCTGGAAGTCCTACGCGTTACTTCGGTAACTTAAATCTGTCAGTGGCCGTATACACTCCTCGAAAAAACCTCCTTGAGGCAACACTCGAGGCTACGTCTCGTATTGCTTTGGCAATCCGCAAAACGATACAGGACGAGACGACACTAGATGCCATAGCCTCAAGAGCTGCATTCATCGAGGCGCAGGTCGAGGCAACGAGACCTGATACTACCCAAAGAATGGTCCTCGAGGGGGATTGCAGGTCGACAAATTGGGCAAAACATGATCTAACCAAGTTCGACTTTGGGTTGGGATCCAACATGAAGTCAATTGGAACCACACTGGCAACGAAGACGATATACCCTGCTGGGATGTTTCTAATTTCAAGAGGCAGTGGGGGTCTGCTTGTGGCCACAACTGTGGAGAAGGAGGCCGATGTACCCCTTAGTATGGATCCGCTTTTAACTAGATATGCAGAACTTCTAAGCAATTGAGCATCCTTGTACATGTATGCTGGAACAGGAGAAAACTTAATTTAAGGCTGAAAAATTATACCGGGACCCGGAACGGCAGTGACTTCATAAAGCACCCCAAAGCCGCCGCAAATTTGCGAAACCAGAAGCAAACTCCACTACCATCATGAGCTATTACATTGGTGTAGATGTTGGTACAGGCTCTGCCAGAGCTGTCCTCGTCGATGACCACGGTAAAACTATCGTATCCCACACGAAAGAAACCACCACCTGGCGTGATCATGACGATCACCGCATCTTCGAGCAATCCACCAACAATATCTGGGACTCAATTTCTAGCTGTATCAAGAAATGCCTCGCAGAGTCAAAAATTTCTCCCTCTTCAGTCAAAGGACTTTCCTTTGACGCGACTTGTTCACTCGCAGTTTCCGACTTCAATGGTGACCCGGTTATCGTTACGAAAGGCAAAAATATAGGACAGAATGGCGATCGCAACGTTATCTTATGGGCAGATCATCGAGCGGAGAAGGAAGCAGAGCTGATCAACAGTACAGGATCAGTTGTGTTGGATTATGTGGGCGGAACGATGAGCGTAAGTACGCGTTCCTAATCCAAGGTTTGTATTCTCTTATGCGGTTGGACCACAGCTCGAGATGGAGATTCCTAAAACACTTTGGCTCAAAAACCACATGGAACCTTCCCTGTTCTCACGTTGCCAGTTCTTCGATCTGCCAGATTTCCTGACCTACCGTGCTACGAAGGATAGCACCAGGTCTTGCTGTTCTGTGACATGTAAATGCTCTTTCGTACCGAAGAGTGGCTGGCAAGCCGATTTTTTCGAAAAGATCGGTTTAGAGGAACTCGTAAAGACTAACTATAAGCAGCTAGGTGCTGCGAACGGCGAGGTGCTGACTGCTGGAAAGCCGGTTGGAAACGGACTCTCAAAACAAGCTGCAGAGGAATTGGGTCTTGTTGAAGGTACACCTGTTGGTAGTGCTGTTATCGACGCGTACGTCTGTGAGAACTGTAGACGCATTTTTGCATCTTGCTCATGTGCTTGTTGCAGCTATGCAGGATGGCTTGGAACTGTCGCCGGACGATACAAGGACAATGGAATACTCTCTGATGCTATCCCTTCCATAGACGAATCTCGACATCGTCTCGCCGCTTGTGCTGGGACAAGTACGTGTCATATCGTACAGGTAGACCTTTCCGTCCTCTGGGTCAAACTTCTGCTTACTGTATGCACCCCAGAGTCGAGAGGGTGTCTTCGTCAACGGAGTTTGGGGACCGTACAAAGTTTAGTGCGAATGCGACTTCCTATTCACAACGCTAACGTGCACGCAAGGATCCAGTCTTTCAAGGATGGTGGATGAACGAAGGAGGTCAATCGTCCACTGGGCAGGTATAATTTCGTTCTGCTTATTCCTTATTCTAGACGACTCAGTTCCCCATTCTTAACAGCTCATCGATTTCATGATCAAAACTCATCCTGCTTATCCTCGTCTTCAGAAAATAGCTGAGGAGCACAAGTCCAATATATTCTCAGGTTCGCGGTATCCTTTCGTCATCGTACTTTGTGGTGACGATGACTTGGACTAGTTCTACAGGACCTTCTACAGAAAATGAAAGAAGAAAATGGTGTCGAGAGCTTGACTGAACTTACTAAGGATATGCATTTTTATCCTGATCTGCATGGTACGCTTTCCTACGCATATACGTTTTTTCCGTGTTCACGATAAAATCCAGGAAATCGGTCACCTATCGCCGATCCTCGAATGAGAGGATCTTTTGTCGGGCTGACCCTCGTAGGCATTCCCAACCTTCTACGCTGCTAGTCGTTAATCTGTTCATAGGATGATGGGCTCAATGACCTCGCACGTAAATATAACGTTACTCTCGAAGCAATCGCTCTTCAAACTCGGCACATTGTTGACGAGATGAATGCCAAAGGCCATAGCATTACCTCCATTTATATGAGTGGTAGCCAGGCAAAGAACATTCCGATGATGCAGCTATTCGCAGACACATGTGGAATGCCCGTTGTGTTGCCATTCGATGAGGGCGCTGCGGTCCCTCTTGGGGCTGCAATGCTCGGTAGATTTGCCGCCGAGGCAGCAAAAAAAGGTGTAAATACCATGAATGAAGAACAGCAAGGGGAGTTGCTTTGGTACATCATGGTGAATCGAGTCATAATCACATTCTATTCTTATTTTCCCACTCAATTGTTTCTCGCTGCAGGTGGAAATGACTCCTCCAGGAACTATTGTGAAGCCTGCGACCTCGGGAAGAGAAAAGAAACTTATTGAGGCCAAATACAAGATTTTCAGAGAGGCGATTGATATCCAGTACCGATGGCGGAAACAGATTGAGGAGGCGATGAAGTGAACGAATGTCGTTTGAATGATTAAGATTAGGAGCACATCTCATTAGACAGTATATTCTGACATACATAAACAGTGGGTAAATCCCTAAAATTTTCTCTCAGAGTCTCAAGAAGCCCAGAGTTCTGAAGGCTACTCAGGGTTTCGCGGTTATCGGATGGTGGTCGGGCCTGAGTCGGATCATTTTCGGGCAAGAGCTGTGTAAATTAAAAAATTTTCGTAACCTCCGTCCTTCCCTTCATAACTTTCCCTCTTACCACCATCATCACAACACAAAATGTTCGCTCAATTGTAATTTCCTGCGTTCACAACGCAACATACGTCTATATCCAATGGACCTTCACTTCACTTGAAAGAAATCTTTCAAGCTCACAACATCTTTTAAACATGTCTCCGTAGATCGTCTCGTCAGATTCACTCTGACCTAGTCAGCCACCATGGCCTTCGTCCAACCAGTCACAAAAAACCTCAATCAAATTTCTGCTCCTACTTATCGAGTATTTATCGCTCCATCGCCAGTATTTAACAGCATCAACTCTGCAAAAGTCCGCCAAAAATATAATGACGGTAGACACCTCCTCAAACATGACAATGACCGAACCTTCCGCTCAGCCGGTTGTTGAGGCCCCTTCGTACGACCGATCTAGTGTGGTCGAAACGATATTAGGTGAATATAAACCTCCTCACTGCTTTCACGTACTGCAACTAAATTGCCTACAGCCTCCCCACAGTTGCAGAAATCCGCTCGCTTCGACGATTTCCTCATTTCCCCTTTGCTCTCTCCCTGCGACGATATTGATATGTCGCCCTCCATCAACGATTCTCCTCTCCTTGACACACCGATCATGAATGATTTGTCGGATGACTTTGGAATTTACGGGTCCGAATATACCGGCATTCCATTGTTCAGTGACAGCTCTCTGTCGATGTATCAGCTCCTAGAATCACCAGAGCTTGTGCAGGACGTTCTTTTCAAGGCGTACGAGCAGACAAAGCCTGCACCCGAACCTACTCCTACCCTCCCACCTTCCTCCGACGTTGTGAGCCCACCTTTGGTTGAGGCACATTCGACTCCTGTGTGGACTAACAATGCTACAACCGCGAGCACTGCTACTGTCACCAAGACGGGCAAGGGCCGTCGGTCAAATGCTACAGGAACTCGGAAGAACGTCACTCCGGAATCCCTCGTACCTGTCGATGCCCCGATCCAGGCGAGGAAGTACGTTACTCCTTCTGCAACCTCTCGTAAAGAGATTCCTGCCGCGTTCCTCAAGTCTCAGAAGCGCAAGCGCTCTAGGACGCAGGCGTTCAGTGATGAGGAGATCCTGACTCCGCCCAGTCGAAGTTCACCGTGTCCTGAAGGTCCCGAGACGGAAGAGCAACCACCGCTCAATGCCACTGAAAAGGAGATCATCGAGTGGAAGCGTCGCCAGAATACTCTAGCGGCGCGAAAAAGTCGGAAGAGGAAACTTGAGCATCAACAATTCCTTGAGACTCGTCTTAAGGATCTGGAATCAGAGAATGAGATGCTCAAGGTAAAAGCGGAGGCTCTCGAAGCGGCCCTAAGGGCGCACAATATCTTTTTACCGTGATTTCCTCTATGTTTCTGTAGTCTTGCATATCTTTCCCCTCCAAAAAAAAAAAAACTCAAAAAAATTCTCTCGATTTTCTTTTGCTGTTCATTATCTTTATCCGAGTTTTTATAATCTTACTCTTTCGTTTCGTTTTCTTTCCGTGTATCATCATTACTATTACTAGTATCCAACTACTACCTTTCACTCTCTACGGCTTTAGGATAGGTCGTTTTGATACTTGTTTGTCTTGTACCATTTTAATACATTTGTTATCGAAAAGCTTGAGCTCAATCAGTGGGCTTATGCCGAAATTTAGTCGGCAGATCGGCCGACGAGTCCTATTTTCTGATGTTGTGTAAGGTACGGCGCTATAGCCAAGTGGTTACGGCGACAGATTTGAATTGTCTTCTGTATCTGTTCCTCTTTGAGGGCGCAGGTTCGAACCCTGCTGGCGTCGTGAGCTGGATTCCTTTTTTGATAGTGTTCGTCAATTCACAACATCAATATCTGAAGGAAAACAGGATGTTGCAGTTGAATGTAATGAGCAGACTGTGAACCATTACAGACATTATTGTAAGGGTTAGTTTACACATGCACATGTTACGGATGTAGTCTGAGGGACGCGCACTACCAAGCAGGGCCATTCCAAAACTCACAGCAACTTCACATATGCAGCGGGAAACAGTCCACTCTTGCCATCGACTTCGCCTTTCCACCTGTGAGTACCACGATTGAGCATTATACCACCATGACACAACTCCAGAGAACATCGGATTAAGAAAACAGGAAAGACATACATACCAGTCGTCAGACGAATGTTCAGTAACCAGTATCCGTTGATTGGCGCGGATATGAAGATCTCCGGGATCCTAGATATGGATTAATTGTCTTTGTCAATCCTCTGTTCATTTTCGCCTCATGGCACGTTATGACTGACCTGCGACTCATAATCATACAACACTTCAGCCCATTCACCCTGTTCCTCTTCGAGTTGTGGTTCAGGTTCTGGCTCATGTCCTGGAGTTCTATGTGAAGGCGGAGGCGCGAAACTATTCTTCTTCTGACCGAAAGCAGAAGGAGCGGTGGGCGTGTGATGAACGGTAGGTTGTTTTCGTGACAAGCCAGAGATTAACATGCTTTTTTTCGACGAAGTGTCAACGTCACCGAGTCGCTATTAAATTTGTCGAAGATGAATGAAGGTGTTTAGTTGCTGGAGTTGATCGTTACAGCACCTGTTTCGAAACAAGTCCGGCTGGAGGTTCAAGATTCCTTGGAGGAGCATGCCTACTTGGTGGAGGAGCGTTGTTGAATGCAGAGGCGGCAGCAGCTACGCGTCCAGCTACTTGGCTAGCATTAATTCCGGCGTCATCATCTCCAGATGCACCTTGTAATTTAGCTGCGAGCTCAGGGCGAGATTGGAAATATCTATAGAGTGGATAACTTGATCCAATGTTGCATGGAGGCTATGAAGAAAGCGTACTCGTCTAGAAGGGAAAAAAATGCATCCTTTTCATGATGGGAGAGATTAGAAAAGACCATCGTTGTTCAGGGCCAAGTTGAACGGAAAGTACGGCAATGATGGCCGCTGCTATATTGCAATTCCATATAGACGAATACTCCAAGCTTCTTTTTTCTGAAGTTCCCAGTGCTCATATTCAGAGTGTTCTGACAACGATGATTTGAAAGTCTAAGAAAAACTGTATATATTCTTTACTACAAGTCCTTCGTAGTCGCCCAAGATGCTGAACCTCTTCACCGCTCTCTCTTTCTCACTGACTGCTTCACGCCTTGATACTTACAAATGACGGTTGCATAACCAAGGACTTACCAAGTTCTATGGTGGAGATTTCTTTCGAAAAGTGATGATCGATGACAAAAGACCTTGAAAAGTAATTCGGGCTCATCGTTACCGACGCCTGTAGAACTACCTCTCCGAATAGATGTAGATGAAATAGGAAATATATATCATTCATCGTTGTCACGAAGTATTACTATAACAACAGTAAAAAGCAATGATTGATACTCGCCTCTAAACCGAAAAGAACCAATCCTTCAGCGACAGAGAGAGAAACACATTGAAAATATAGAGGAAAAGATTGTGAAATGAACTATAACGATTTGATAACAATCTTCCACGGTAGCCCAAAGAATCCAAGACGACAAACCTAATAGTCATGAGCGCACAATAGTCAGTCCAATATTCACAAGCGCGATTGATTCGGGCAAAAGGAATGGATAGCGGATGTTTGACGTGCATAGACGACTTGTTGTGGGGAACGAGAACACTGTAGATAATATATCGGACCTTCTGTAAAGGAGGATCGTCCTATGACATGATAAAGGACGAGTATGCACGAGGCCTACGAGGCCTAGTTGTGTAGGTGACGATATATCGAAACTCGTGGCTAACGCGCGCTGGGGTGTACCGCGCCCAGTCGTGGCTTCAGGAACCCAGGAAAACCCGAGTTCTGATTCTATGCAATCGACAGTAGTGAAAGCCCCACATCCACAGTGTGGACATAGAAATTGGTGGCCGATGAAGTGCTTCGAAGCACCTTCATCAGCATAGCCAACACACTCCCTGAAGGAGCAACACGGTGTATGAAAAGAGGAGTGACAGGAAGAGACATACATCAAAAGTAAGATACGAAACTTTGGATAACTCACCCGATGTTCCGTGAATACGAAGGTCTTGAAGATAAGATGGTCAGCAGCAGGTCCTTAGACCACATTCACCAGAAAGTTCCGTGGCAAATGAAGAGTGCACATGATAGATCAGGCTGAACCAACGGGCAAGCCAAAATCAGTTCTTATGTTCCTATAACTGTTTTAAGATCTTCTGTGAGGAGGCTATTCTACTGAACAGAAGCTCGGGCGTAAAGACCATTGGATGTAGGTATAGGATTTAAGTAGGTATAGAATTTAAATCAACCCACGTAGCCCGTATCAAGTCTTATACAATTCAAAAAAAAAATTGGTAGCGGACAAAGGAAGTATAAAATGACATGGAAAGACAAACGAACAACCAAGATGGTGATAAAGTAGTTGGGAACACGAACGAAAAAAATGTAGAGAGTGGGAGAAAGGGTAGAGAGCAACAAATAAGTACATCGAGCACAGCAGCATCAATCGAGAGCAAGCAAAGCAAAAACGCTAGGAACCTAGAATAAAAATCTCATTGAGTCCAGCTGAACGGGTCAATGTCATTCGACATGTAAGAAAACGGGTCCGCACTCATGGAGCTATTCATGCTCATGCCCATCATATTATTCATGTTGTTCATCCCATTCATGTTCATATTCGAATTTCGCATCTGCTGCCCAGGGCCAGGTGTGGCGGACATATGTCGGGGCATGCCTAAACCTAGATTGGAAGATGACAGGTCGTTCGGGTGGCCTGATCCTGGTGAAGTAGTGGGGAACGGATAAGAAGAAGAGCCCATACCACCACTACCCCCGAATCCACTTCCTGCACTCCCAGGAGGTGACGGTACTCCCATATTTCCACCGCCTCCACCGTACCCACCGCTGTGAGCACTCGGAGGAGCCATGCCACCACCCATCTGCTGCTGCCAATTTTGTATCTGCTGCGGGTTGAAGTTACCAGCGCCTGGACCTGACATCATGCCACCTCTTGGCGATGGATTGCTGCCCCCGCCACCCATCATGCGTGCGAAGTCGTCCTGAGAAGGCCCTCTCGTCGGCATCCGAGGAGTCATCGGTGATTGATTTCCGGGGCCAGGTGCACCACCCATCCCTATCCCCATCCCCATACCACCATTCATACCACCATCCGGCGGTGATCGTGCACTCCTCGCAATGCCTGGTATCGCGGCATTTGAGCGCAGAGCAGGAAAACTATTCGAATCACTCCCAGGGATCATCGGCGAACCGTTTCCTCCACCGCCATGATGTAGTTGCGTGGGAGAGGTCAACCCTTGAGGCATACCCTGCTGCTGCTGACGCTGTTGTTGAAGCATGGCGAACTGCTGTGAAGACATTCCGTTCATATTATTCATGTTATTCATAGGATTCATGCCTCCTGATCCCATACCAACCCCTCCGCGCTGTTGTTGCATCAACATGAGCTGCTGTCTTTGATTCGGGGTCATCTGGTTCATGCCCATATTTCCTATGTTTCCTATGTTGTTGCCGCCGCTGCTCCCGGTTCCGCCAATACCGCCAGAACCAGCGTTCATACCCTGTTCACCGCTCATCATCATCGGATTCATCTGCGCTTGTTGAGCGACAGGTGATATAGGACTGGAATGATTAGCAAATGCACCATTGGGCATACCATTCGTTCCCATCTGCTGTTGATGTTGTAGTGACTGCTGTTGCTGTTGCTGTTGATGTTGTTGCTGCTGCTGATGTTGTTGTTGCTGTTGCAGCTGTTGATGCTGCTGTTGTTGTTGTTGTTGCTGTTGCTGTTGCTGTTGTTGTTGTCTCATCTGTAGAACCTACACGATATTAGAGATCGTCTTGGGTTGAGGACAGAAACAAAACTTACCTGGAAAATGCGTCGCGCTTGATCTTGATACGAAAGGGCTGCAAAGTTGGGTACCATACGATGCATATACTGCAATATTGGATGAGGTGGCTGACTTTGCAGAAGCGAGAAAGCTTGCTGTTGCAATTGCTGGACAGTGGATAGTCCACCTCCGCCACCACCACCTCCACCGCCGGGCATCATATTCGAAGGTCCACTGTGAGTAGACGATGTGGGCGATATTTGTGGATTCGACGATGCACCAGAGGAAGGCGGGGACATATGACGACCTCCTGGTTGAGGCTGGGGAGTCGACGGCATTCCAGGCAATCCACCTGGCCGTTGCTGCTGTTGTTGTTGTTGAGCCCGCATGTTTGCCATCCTCTGTTCTCGTACAGCTTGATTCAGCTGTGCCTCGGACATACCTGCATCAGGTAAAGAGCCTGTACCGCTCATACCCTGGGCTGGGGCGGGCGAAATCATACCAGGCATTGCGGAAGTCTGTGGGGTCATGGGCATAGGCGAGGAACCGCTTCCAGTCGAAGGTGATGGGGAAGAAGAGATGCCATTGGACAGTTGATCTTGTAATGGCAAGGAAGGCGGGGGCATCATCATCCCATTGTTGTTGATTTTGCCTTCGCCTGTGTCTCGTCTTTTATGCGTCATTATGTCGAGCGGGACTTCATCTGGTCGTTCACGTTTTAAATGATTCATGCCTGGATAGTTGTTGGGCATACTTGGGCCGAGCGAAGGACGCCGGGGTCCGGATTTTGAAAATACATTAACGAGGTCAGTGTAGAGCTGATGTATTCTGTCCATAGGAAGAATGTCAATAGGCGGCGGTGCATCCATCATGGGGTAGGTTATGGGTTGATTGCTCTAGACCAGAAATGAGCGAAAGCCGACAGAAAGGATTAATGAACTACGTACCGGTCGATCAGCAGCAGTTGCGAGATAACTGAGATTGGT